CCCCGAGCCTCCCAGCTGCGTTCCGTGGCCAGGACTAGCACAGGCAGCCCGGAGCTCACACAGGACGAGACCACGCACATTCCGGCCCACCGGGCCTGGCTTGGACACCGGCTCTAAATAGGGAGTTTGCTGCCCCCCTGAGGCCCCCTGCAGGCCGGCCAGGGACGGCCCGGCCAGCACATGTGTCCAGGACTTGGTGGGAAGCCCTCAGGATCTCAGGACGCTGCGCAACGTGTCTGGTTGCCCCCGTGCCAAGTTCATACTGTTCCCGCGGGGCCGTCGGTCTCTGCCTCATCATGTTTCTGCCTTTTAAACCCAAGCTCCGTTAACTAAAGGTCATCCTGCAGCACGCAAATCAAGATCCTCTTTGCTTTGCTTTCTAATCCCTGAATTTGGGGGGATTTTCAGAAGTTCAGCTCCACAAGGGCTGGGTTTTTCTCCAGCAGTGTTCAGCCTGCCTGGCGGAACGGTGGCCTCCTGTGCAGCTAAGGAGCTCCCACACCTGTCACGGGGCTTGCCGCCTCTGCCCGCGCCTCCCGGGGTTGGCACGAACGGCGCCCTCCCCCAGCTCTGCGCCCACTACGCAGCCCGCCCTCGGGTCCCACGCGGCTGGTGCGCTGCCTTCCAGACCCCTCCACGCTGCCGCCCTCGAACACGCTTCTAAACCCACCGCCAGACCCTCTTTTGTCTGAGCCTCGCCACAGGCCTTGGAGGCAGAGGCAGGTAGGGCAGATGTCAGGGTGTGGCATTTGGGCAAGCCGCTGGAGGTGGCACAGGTGAGAGACAGCACGACCGGGAGGGCAGGAGCCCCACTGTGACCCTCACATGGGGAGAAGCTCACATGGAAAGGGCTCCATTCCGCCCACTGGCTGCCCCCCCCCCCAGGCCCCGTGCCAGACCCCCTCCTCCCTCGACGCTGGCCTTTCAGCCTCTTCCTTCACTAAGACAGCCGCTGGGAGCCAACGCACGACAAGAGCCTCTGAAAAGCCTCAGCCCCTCAGAGCAGCCTTCAGGGTCAGGGCGGGGCGGGGGGGGGGGCTCCCGGTGGCATACAGACCTCGGGCTCTCACATGGAGACCTCGCTGGGGACACGGAGGCCAGGCTGAAGGGGGATGGATTTTGTTTTGTTTTGCAGCCATGGTGTTTACTGGCCCGGCTAGTGACCTATCTGCTGTGGCAACAGCTGGAGCCTCAAGCCGCTCGTTCCGGCGCGGGGAGCGGCTAGAGAAGCAGGGCGCAGTCTCCGGGGAAGAGCAATGACATTTTTCAGCGATCCCTGGCCAGTAACGGGCTCAGTGACATTTCCTGCTAATCCACACGTTTCTGTACTCTGCCGTCCCATCTGTGGGGAACCAGTCGTGCCTTATTCGCAAAGAGCCGTGGTCACGCTCTATGGTCACTCCGACAGAGCTGTGGTCAGGGGATTTTCCACACCCCCTCCCAACCTCCTGTATATATGTATTGTTTTTAAGGGTTGATTTTTTTTTTTTTTTTTTTTTAAAGATAGCAGAAGGGGCGCCTGGGTGGCTCAGTCATTAAGCGTCTGCCTTCGGCTCAGGTCATGGTCCCAGGGTCCTGGAATCAAGCCCCGCATCGGGCTCCCCGCTCTGCGGGAAGCCTGCTTTTCCCTCTCCCACCCGCCCTGCTTGTGTTCCCTCTCTCGCTGTCTCTCTGTCAAATAAATAAATAAAATCTTTAAATAAAATAAAATAAAATAAAGATAGCAGAAATGTATTGTCTCACAGTTTAGGAGGCCAGTCGCACCCTTATTTATTTTTTTTAGTTAGTTCTGTAGCCTTTTAGGCCTGGCTTCAATCAAGACAGGGGTCCTCATGGCCCTGGAGGGGAGGGGCTCACGGTGGCTTCGAGATAAAGAATCTGCCACTGCTTCTCTATCCCTACTGTCCCCACATGGGCAGACTTTGCAGAGTGAGGCACCACGGAGAATGGGATGCTCTGGTCCCCTTTCTGCAGTGACACAAAACAGAAGAACCCTAGGGCTGGGACTCAAACTCTTTCCCTCCTTGGGCTTGGACCTCAGAGAGGTCTCCCTGCTGCCAGCCCCATGGCCCGAGCTCCTGATGCCCTAGCAGTGACCTTGTGGTGTCTGGATGGGGCAGCTCTGTTCTCATGCAGAACCTGCCCCTTCAGAAGGCTCCTGCTAGCAGAAATAGGGACACAGGTGACACAGAGGGGCACAGTTATCCTACAAATTGACCACGAACACAGTCTGCACTGGGGAGGGGCTTGTCACCTGTTTTGGGTTTAGGGTTCCATAGAGCATCTGGTGAAAGCCATCTCCCTGGACCCAGGCACATAGGCACAACTGTTAGGGTTCAGGTCTAGGCATTCTTGGAGGCCCAGAAGCCCACCCATGGGCCTCACGAGGGGGAGTCACCAACCTCGGCAAGGACCACCTCTCCCCACCCCCCCACGAAGACACTTTCAGCGAGTGAAGCATCTCCTTGTGAAGGAGTCGGCCCCTGAGTGAGGTGGGGGCAGGAGGGAGGGAGCACCCTTGAGGAGAAGGGCACACCCAGAAGGGGGCTTCCTCACCCAGCCCAGGAGCCCAGGAGGCACCTCCCCTGAGGTGGGCTGGGGGTTGAGGGAGAGCCAGAGCGCTGCCCTCCAGACCCAACACTCCTCCCTTCCCCACAAGCTGTGGGCTTCAAGCACATTTTGAGAAAGTGCCGTTAGCCTCCCCACATCAGGCCAGGGGACGTGATTCTGCCAGCGGAAAGCATTCGGCCCAAAATTAGGAAGAGACACTGCAGCAAGATGCCAGACGCTGGAATGGGAGGCTCCTTGCTGGGACTGGGGGCCCGAGGAAGGGCCAGGTGGGCAGCATGAGAATCCCCTGCCCCATTTCCATCAGGACAGCTCTGTTCCCCTCTGCTCCCAGATAGTCTCCACTGGCAGGTAACATTGCACTTGGGAAAAGGACTGGCTGGTCAAACAACATCTGATGGCAGGCCCAGCCTCTCTTTCTTGGGACACACTCTCTGACCTGGGGCAGGGCCAGAACCCCTCCCACTCTAGGAGTCTAAGATTTTCCTCCGCACAGTTTTTGTTTCCATCAAAGCCTGACAATAGAGTAAACACACACACACACACACGTGCGTCCACACACACACGTGCGTCCACACACACACGTGCGTCCACACACACACGTGTGTCCACACACACACGTGCACACGCATGGCTGGCAGCAGTGGGTCAGACTCTGCCTGACAGTCATGAGAGTGGAGCTTGGGAAAAAGCGAGGTAACTGGTACTGGGAGAGGAGGACCTTTGTCCTGTGTATATTTTCACTAGAAGTAAAAAAAAAAAATAAACTTCTACACAGTAGGTGTTGCTGTATTGTGCTTGGGATTAATGAGACAAGGGAACTCATCTCTTGTCCACACACACTATTTTATGTTTTAGTATTCCCTAAACTACATGCCTTTACAAGGGAACTGATTTCAATTTTAGTAATCTCCCAAATGCAGGGCTGAGGCCAAGAGTCGGGGCCATCTCCTGAATGTAAATGGGCTCTGTCGAGTTGGCCATGCATCAGCTCTGCTTACACCTGGCTGTGGGCACCTGAGCCCCACCTGAGACAGGACGGCAGAGGACAGGAAGGGTCAGGAGTCAGGGTGCTGTGGGCAGAGGCTCAGTGTGGACTAGGAGAAGCAGGGCTGACCTGCAGGGGGAACGCCGCCCTTGGCTTTATTCACTGGGGCCTGCTCTTCAGTGGGGCACACTGGGAAGCTTACCATAAGGGCTCTCTGCTGCTCCCAAAACACCCTTCTTAGCCTTGGTGAGGACAAAGTCATCCTGTAAGGTCTGCAGGCAAAGCTACCCATGGCATCCTCTGAAGGAGGCCAACGGCACAGGAAAGCCAGCTCTGTCCCTGATGAGCTAGGGACGGACAGAGGCAGATGCCCAGGCTCCGCACATGAAGGGAGGAACCTCCTTGGGCTGGGATAATTGCAGCTTCCCTTTATCACCTAACACGGCTGTGGGGCCCACCAATTTCCCCTGATGCTTTGTGAGCCCCCCTCCAGGGAGCCAGCACCATGCTTCTTTCTGCTCTCTGAAGCAAGACAGCCACTGGCTGGCTCTAAATAGCCCTTCTTCAGGCCCGAAGGGGGAATATGGTGGGAATGGGGGTGCTCAGGGTCCCCTCACCCTGGGCTCACAGGGATCAGAGAAACAAGGTCTATTATACCCAGTGTCACATGCCTTGGGGGAAGAGGGCAGAAATCCAAAGATGACAAACCTCCTCATTCCCTCCTGCAGAGCAACGCACCCTCCTGCCTCATCTGGCCCAGCACAGCTCTTGGTCCCCAGTGTCCTGGTTGGGTGGCAGTGGGTCCTCCATGTAATAGGTGGGGGCAGGAAAGTCTCATCCTGCCACACCCACCATGGCCTGGGCCAAATGCAGCGTGAACCCTGCTCTAAAGAGAGGGGCATCTAGGCAGTGTGGCCTGGTGGGGGGGATGTGGAGTTGCTGAGGATGGAGGGAGAGGCCAGGACTGCTCTGGAAGGAGAGAACCCCTTTCCCCCAATGCCCGTGGCCTGCTTGGAGGCAGGGAGATGGCTCACCTGGCCTCCGCCAGCCCAGCCAGCGTTAGAAGCTCATCCTTGGCTGGCTGTGCCAGGGTTATGATTAAGTTACACAAGTTAGTGTCCCCATGTGGCTCAGATGCAGAGCCCAGGGCGGGGTGGAAGCAGCTCGAGCATGTGCACTTGAACAGTCTCCTCTGTGGTCCACGTAGCCCCCGTGGGGCCCGCAGCTGCTGCACAGAGCTCGCCACTCCCCGCCGGCGCCTCCTGGCACTCAACGCCAGAGCCTTTCTCTGACCCCACGGGGCCTTGCCCCACCTTGACCCTCCAGCCAGGGGGTGTGCATGCAGTAGGCGCTTAATCAGTGTGTGGCAGGGTGGGGGTGTGCAAGGGCACCCGTCTGCGGCAGGCCAGCCCCCAGCCCCCAGCCGTGTCCACAGGAAACTCACTTGAAGTTCTCGGGATACTCCGTGATGGCCATGTTGACCACGTCCAGGGCATGCTGGTAGTGCTTCTGGGCCGAGAAGAGGAGCGCCAGCAGGTGGAGAGCGTTGGCATCATCCCGGCACACTTTCAGGGCCTCCTGCAGCTGCTCCATGGCGCTGGAGATCTGCCCGAGAAGACTGCCAGCTTAGTGACCTTCTCCAAGGCCCAACCTTCCCCCCCAGGATTCTGGGGGGCGGGGCTGGTGCTCTGACGAGAAAACACAGCCCTAAGTACCACGGTGAGAGGGATCTGCTGTCCCAAGTCAGGCTCGGGCAGCCAGCTGCTGCTCGGGGGTAAAGAGGAGCAGGTTTATGGTGCAGCACAGAGGATCTGGGTGGATGCGGGGCTCTATGGAGGCCACCCAGGTCCCTGTGTGCAGACCTACAGGTGGCTTCTCCTCCACACCTGTGCATGTAGGGATGGAGGCTGACACACAAACGCCTCTTCCGACCCAGAGGCCCACCGTGGCCAGAGCTTCGGCTCTGGGGTCAGGTGGGGGCATGGATGCCAGCCCTGCCACTTCCTAGCTGGAGCCTTCGGGTGACCTCTCTGAGCTGCAGTTCTTAGCTACAACATGAGGAGGACGGTCCTGCCTGTGCCAGTGGCCGCGAGGGCAAGATGACGTAAGAGAACGTTCTGCACAGTCCTGCACGTGTGTGAGACATGCCTGTCCCTCCTCAAGCCTCCAGAGCCCAGGCAGCCGTGGAGCAGTAAGACGCTCCCTTCTCATCCTGGGGGCTGTGTTCTCTCATGCTCTCGGGGCTGGAGACTTCCTCGGCTCCTGCAACTCTCTCCACATCGGGGCCCTATCCTGCCAGGAACCTCGGGAGTCTTTTCTAGAAAGTCTTGCTCCTTACCACACCTCAGACATGGGCCGCCTGTGCTCCCCGAGGGGGCCTGTGGTGCAGGCCAGCTGGGGCCTTCGGTCCCTGGCCTGCTCTCCCCCCAGCCTCTGCGCACGCGGTGAGGCCTAGTGCCAGGCCCGGACTCCGCCCACGGGAACCTCCTTTTATGGAAAGTTCAAGGAAAGGGAAGGAAGCCAGGTTACCGTGGCCACTGGTTCAGCTTGCCCGTGATTCTGCAGGGTAAAGCCCATTATCCTGGGCCGAATATCCAAACTCACAGCTGTCATTACTCAGCTGTCACGTGCTCTGAGCAGGATAGGCTGGCGGCTATCAGACTCAGGTGGGCCAGGTCTAGCTGAGAGCCCATGCAAGGGTCCTCAGCTCCCTGGGGCTCCCAAGATCTGGGGTCCCCCAGGAAACTGAGTGCCAGGCTCCACTGGCCTGGCCCCGCCATCTCTCTGGGAGGACAGACACCATTCATCAGAGGTGGCTGAATAATTCAAGATTTTAAAAAATGTATCACCGAAGGTTTATCATGAAGTTGATTGGCAAGAGAAGGACCGATGCTTTTATAGAGGGCTAAAAATAAAGTGCTCTCAGGTATTTGTGCCTGTGTTCTTTGGAACACCAGAGCAGAGTGATGTTCTTTGGGGAGAGTGGTGGAGAGGTTCCAAGGGCCTCACCCCGGACCTGGAAGTCAGGAGCCCCATGGGGAAAGCTTGGTGGAAGGTGAGGACATAAATGCTTCCTGCGGTCACTTAGCAACTTCTCAGGAGACCGAACTCTTCAAGGGGGCCTGAGGGCAGAGAATAATCCCTTGTCCACCATGGGCTTTACCATATTCTCTGACTCAATCCTTACTGGGTCCCTCGGAGGTGCAGTACGAAGGTGCTCACTCAACAGACAAGAAAACAGGGACTCAGAGAGGTCAAGTCCCTTGCAAAGGGTCACGTGGCTGAGCAAAGCAGGAGCAGCTCCACAGCCCTCAGGGACCTGGGAGTTAGGAAATGTGACAACCCACCTGGCGGACGAGGGCCAGCTGCAGGGAGACATAGAGGATGACTTGGGGGTCACCGGGCGCCAGCTGCTGGGCTCTGTATGGGGAGAGGGAGTGACAGGTCAGTGAGCAAGGACTGAGCACCCGCTGTGTGACGTGGGCCTCCAGCTTGCCAGCCCTCTGCTGGGTGCTGCAGGGCGATATGTCGGGGGTTCTCAGAGGGTGCCCGGCGGGGGAGGATGGCGGCAGCAGCCCGTGGGCGGCAGGCTCCAGGAGAGCTGGCTGAGGCCCTGTGGTGGCCTTGTACAGAGCCTGGAGCCTGACCTCCCCACCCTAAGACAGAAGGGAACACTCCTGCAGGTTGAGGGACTGGGAATGGCCTCTCTGGGAGAGAAGCCTTGGGAATGAAGTGCTGGCTCTTGGTAGCTCAGTGGGGACTGGCCCGGATGGGACTCTGTTACCTCCCTGGGTTCAGGAACAACCTGCCCCAGAGAGGGGTTGGATGTGCTAATATGTTCCCATAAAGATGGCACAAGGAGTCTAGGGCAGGCCCCAAGCCAGCAGCTTCCACAGCAGTATTCGGGGGGAGTAAGACCCACAGGGCTCAGAGGGCAGAGCCCTGCGTTGGGCCAGAGGAGCGGGCAGAAGGATGCTCAGGTGGGGCCCAAGGCTATGGAGGAGGCAGGGGCTTAGCAAGGATGGGTCTGAGGGAGGGAGGGAGGGCCACCACAGGGGAGGGGCTTCTCTGGCATCCCTTCCCTCCTTCCCTCCAGGACCCTGGCTGCCAGGAAATCTCTGTGAGGACTGGTGTGGGGGGTCCTCACAGGCCTCAAGTCAGAGAGGGGCTGGCAGGAGGCAAACACCAATTTTGAGCCCCTGCTATACTTAAGGCACATACGCAAGGTGCTTTTCTAGCTTTGTCTCACAGAATTCTCACAACAATCATGGGCTCTGATTCCCATGTTAGAGTCCTGAGCTCCAGAGGGGAGGGGCTGAGCCTGGGGGCACCCTACCATCACCGAAGGCTCAGCCTGCCCACCCAACCCCAAAGGCCTGTCCCTGCTTCCCGCGGGAGCTCTCAGAGCCCTGGTTTCCTGTCAATAAAATGGGGCCAGAAACCTTCATTCTGCCTCCAGCAGAGGGTCCAGGAAGATAAAGCGCATGAATGTGCCACCTGGTGCCTCTGCTGGGCCGGGGCCCCACCTCACCTCTCCAGGGTCTGCAACGCTTTCCGGTGCAACTCATCTTGCTTGGATTTCAGAGTCGCTGCAGGAGACAAGACGGAGATGGAGCCATGAGGGCTTGCTGAAGGGCTGCGGACCCAGCCCTGCCCCATCCCGGGGACACAAGCTCTGCAGGGAGAGGCCCGATGAGGGCCCTATCTGGCAAATGCTTGCACTCAAGCAGCTCTGGACTACTGCCGCCCACCACCCTCGTCACTGGGGGAGGGTGTGGGGTGTCCGCTTGGCCCCAGCTTCCCAGCATGTGTCTTGGCACACCAGCTCCTTCCATTCCTTTGCCTTCTTTGCTACCTGAGCCTTGAGAGAGGCTCCATGGGCTGATGCCTGCCTCCTTGGGCTTACTTACCCACAGGCCTCCTCTTTTTTAACCATTTTTACAATTTTTCAGTGTTAAATTTTAAGGGCAGGCATTTGAAGCCTTAGCGGCACACGGAACCACCTGGTAAGTTTTAAAATGACTGTCACCCAGGTCCCAGCCCAGCCCTGGTCAGATTACTCTTCCAGGTTTAGTCTGCACGGGACCCCATCGCTCCCCTGCCTGCAAGCACACAGAAGTAGGTGGGCTGCCTCAGTGCTGGGGGGCCACGCGGCTGAGCTGGCAGGCTTCGGGAAAGGATGCCAGGCTCAGGGCAGGAAGAGTGGAATCCAGCCTCCAAGCACAAGTATAAATTAGACCAACTGTGTACCCAGCACTGTGCCATGTGTCAAGGGAAGTTTAAAAGACCCCAGAAGGACACAGCAGTGCTGAGGGTAAGAGCAAAACAGGATAAAGACACTGTGGGACCCAGGCGGGCAGCATATTACAGACTGCGAGCACACAGGAGTTCCAGAGGAGGGGATCAGCTCTGCTGAGGGGCTGGGGCTGGGCCTTGAAGGGTGCGTCCATGAAGAGGGCATGTGTGAGAGTGATGAAGGCTGGGTAAAAGAGTGGAAATGGGACTGAGGGGTGTGTGAGTGTGTGTACTCACTGGAGATGTGCCAGGCGAGGGGGTGGTGGGCACTGGTGGGACGAGATACCCGAGAGGCCACCGGGAAGCCTAGGCCCCCCAAGCAGAGGCTCCGGACCCTGGCACTCACCGTCAGTGGCCTGCAAGCTGTATGTGAGGCCCAGTGCCAGGTAGCCCTTGGCAAGGAACTCCCCGGCTTCCTCCCCGAGGTCGATCACCACCATGGCAAAGCGCTCTGCCTCCTCCAGCTGCAAAGAGGAGAGGCGCAGGTCACTGGGAGGGCTTTCCTGGCCTCGGCATGCAGGTCGCTCAGTCACCAGCCTGGGACACTCAGGACTGCAATTCTTCATGTGTGGGCAGTGTGACCAGAGGCCAGGTGGCTTGTCTGAGACACACCGCCACTAAGTGGAAGAAATCAGGCTGTTTCCTCTGTCAGCGACTCCCTGGACCTCTTCCCTGCAACCCAAGGGCCTGGGCTCAGTGTCACAGGGTACGGCCTCTCACAGGGAAAAGCTTCCCTCTCCCGAGACAGCCTAGCTCCCTAGAGCTTACTCTGCCACGAGCAGGGACCCAGGGCCAGGCCAGTCTGTGACAGCTCCTTTCACCATCTGGCTTCTGTCTGCGCCTGCCCTGTGCAGCAGAGAGAGGGAAGCCAGAGCCGGGGGACAGGCAGGGCCCTGGGCCTGGGTCTTGGGGACACCGCCAACCCTGCAGAATGGGTGGGCTGCCACTCTGGCTCTGTCTGTGAGCTCACGCCCGGACACGGGGAGCTCATACTTCTCAGGGGGAAAAGGCCCGAGGTTGTTTTTGTCCTGGGAGCAGGAAGAACTGCTCCAGTTGGAAAGGGACCAACCGATGCAGGCCACGTGGGCACACGCCATCACACGTGTCACGTGACACGAAGGGGCACGCACAAGGCAGTCCTCACGAGCCGTCTGGGGCACCCACAGCGGTCAGGCCGGTCAGGGAGGCGGGAGACAGCTGGGGGGTCTCCGCCGTGCCCACGCACGGCCCACAGGCCTCTAAGGGCCCAGGAACGTCGTCCGTCCCTGTGCCTGTGTACTGACATCAGTGCCACCGAGAACCAAGACTGGCACCACCCCACAGCTCGGGGGCTGAAAGCCCCACTGCCACCCAGACGTCACAGTCACGGCCCCCTGTGTGGGGCATCTTGCCCCCGGCAGAGGCCCATCAAGGAGCTACATTCAACCGGGGAGTGAGATTCAGACCCAAGTCGGCTTCTGGCATTCACGCCAGGGTGGCTCCTGCCCCGCTCTTGTCCTTGCCACCCCATCCTGGCAGGAGAGGGGCAGCTCTGCGCATCTTGTGGCCTGACCACTGGCCACAGCTGGGGCGCCGGTGGCCCCTCCATCCCTGGAATGCGGAGCTGAGACCCTGAGACAGAGGCCATCAGCGGAGGGGAGCTGGGTAAGCCTGCCCTCTGCGCACAGCCAGGGGAAGCTCCATGCAGGAAAAGGGCTCAAGGAGCAGAGATCCCACTGTGCCCGGAAGGGAAGCAATAGAACCCAAACACAAGGAAGCAGAGCATGTGAGCTGACAGCCCAGACAGAGATGGCGGGGGGGGCTGAATCCCTCTGAGGCCTGTCCACCATCCCTGCCTAAGCCCGCCTGACGCATGCTGACCAGGGCAGTGCTCCAGCCCCCTCATGGCGGTGCTCCGGCTGCTGGCCTGGGCAGCGGGCCACCTCCGGGTTGGGGGGCTGGTCACTGAGAGGAGTAGGGAGTCTAAGGACCTAAGCTCTGACACCATCAGGCCCCAGGACTCAAGGTTTGGGGGAGGCCATAGCTCAGGAAACCCCTCTGCTGCCTGCTGCCCAGCTTCGGCCGGCCAGGCGGGCCCACGGCTGTAGCGGCTAAGATCCGTGTCCTGCAGCACCTGGCCCAGCGGGCCCTGGGGCAGTGGGGGTGGTTGGGGGGGCCTGGGGGCCTACAGTCAGAGCCAGGTGGACAGAAAAGCACTGAAAGATGAGCTCCCAGACACAGGCTCTGGTCCTCACCCAGCACCTGACAGCTGCGGAACCTGGAACAAATCACTTAGTTTCTGTGCCCCAAAGGTCCTCTTCTGCAAAATGGAGACTTGGACCCCTTCCCCTCCAACTGCTCCTCAGCACAGACCTCCACCGAGGCTTCTGCAGCAGCAGGCTCTGTGATGGGCCCAACTGGGGAGCCCCGATGACAAGGGAGGGGGATGCCCGGGTGAATTTGAATGTAATCCCCGCAGGCTGACCCCATACGACAGGGTGGCTCTTAATTAAGGCTCCACTGTGTGATGTTGGCATGGGGCTAGTGGAGCTCCAAGAGAAGGACAATCATGTGGCTGTGGTTGTCCAAGGAAGACTAAGACACATGGCAGAGGGGGGACAGGAGTCACCAAGAAAAGGGTTAAGTGAGCAAACTGCACCTCCCCCACCCAATATCCCATTGCTGATGCAGCTCATCTCATACACTGTCTTTAGGCATCGTTACGCCCCATTCAAACAGGAGCAGGCTGGTTTATAAACCACCAAGTACAAGTTATAGAACCTAGAAACCTATTGCATCCATGTATATACAGTCTTCCCATGACCATGTCCTTCTACTCAGCAAACGCCAGCTTCTATCTCTTGTAACTCATGTAGGGAAGGTGCTGGGAACAAAGCTCAACAGTTACTGGCAAACAGGGAAAAGTCACTCTCCAGTTCATACACATCATATTCTGGGTTAGTAGAGCTCACCATACTTTAGCTCTGAAAGTGCAAATAGGGGCGCCTGGGTGGCTCAGTTGGTTCAGTGTCCGACTCTTGGTTTCAGCTCAGGTCATGATCTCCAGGTCATGGAATCAAGCCCCACATTGGGTTCTGTTCTGGGTGTGGGGCCTGCTTGGGATTCTCTAACCTCCCTCTCCCTCTGCCCCTACCCACCCCCCTCTCTCCCTCTCTCTAAAAAGTGAAAACAGGGGCACCCTGAGTGGCTCAGTCAGCTGAGCATCCGACTCTTGGTTTTGGTTCAGGTCATGATCTCAGGGTTGTAGGATCAAGCCCCACACTGGGCTCCATGCTCAGCCGGGAGTCTTCATGAAGATTTTCTCCCGCTGCCCCTCCCCCCCACTTGTGCACTCTCTCTCTCTCTCTCAAATAAATACATCTTAAAAAAAAAGGTGCAATCATACATCCTTAGCTTGTCCAACCTGTGGCCCACTCTGACCCCCAGGTCAAGAGCCTTTCTCGGCCAGTACTTGCCAGCCTTGTCCATGTAGTTTAAGCACAGTGTCAGCATCTGTCTCAAATCAAACTCATAAAGCTTGAATGTACTGTGCTCACTTCGGCAGCGCATACACAAAGCGTGAATGTACCATTTTCCTACATAGCCAACACTATTTTGGTTTCTATTACCTACTACAAAGCAGGCTTTTTGCATGTGAAGTCACTGCAGGGATAATGAAGGAAAAAAATGATCAATTCTTGTAAGTATGACAATATACGCTATGATAACGTATGGTATTAATATACATCGGTGCTCTAACTGGCCAGTGAAAGGAAAAAAAATGGTATCAGAGCAAAAAAACCCAAAAAACAACAAAAACAAAAAACAAAATCAAAAACAAGAAAAAACTCCAAACAAAAACAGACTCAAAATTTACATTTATTTTAAATATATCTTAAAAATTTGTGCATGTATATATTTGTGCATGTATATATATATTTGTGCATGTATATATATATTTGTGCATGTATAACACACACACACACAAATACATACACACACAATGCACCGTTCCCCTTCATCTAAGACACAGGTGGCAATCCTAAAGCCCTTGAGAATGTGGCTTTGTCATTTTTGTTCTCAAGTACTAAAAGCCCACCCAAGTCCAGAATCAGTTCCACACTTATGAATAAGCTCTCCACGCAGACAGCAGGGCAGCCTGGAGGCTAAGAACACAGGCACTGGGGCCAGACTCCCTGAGCGCAAATCCTGGTTTGGCTACTTACTAACTGTGTGACCTTGGGCAAGTCCCCTCGCTTTGCTGTGCTTCAGTTCCCTCTTCTGTAAAATAGTGCAACAAGTGTCTGCCTCACAGACAGACCTCAGTTGCTGGGAGGACTGAATGAGGTAAGACACAGTGAATGCTCAGAGCAGTGTTTGAATAAATGTAAGCCATTATGATTAGTTATTTGATTTCTATCTGTCATTGGTTGAATCTTCCAGAAAAGGAGACTCTACACAAGGATCAGCCCTGTGCAGTCCCCTGTGCCAGCTGGGCAGACCCTCGGACTCTCTACCCATGGTCCAGGACACACATATACCCACTAACCTACTCTTTGTCACAGTACTCACCCCCGCTGTGGGCAACATACTCGGATATTTCTGTCCTATTCTCCGATAGCCTATTTCAAATTTTTTTTTTTT